GAGAGGAATGTTTTGAGAATGATGAGGGCAATGAATGTACAAATGCGCTTTACACAATTGATGTGTGTATGGATTGTGATAAGAGTTGTATGAGCCCCAAATAAAATGACTTAAAAAAAAAAGATTTCAGGCACCTTGGTTTATGACCCTATTCCTGGATTTCCTCTCTGGCTTGTCCTCCTACCCAGGGAAGGGAATGGACACTCCTGTCCCTGAGGGACAGACTGACAGCATCCCTTGACAAGGGCAGAGGGGAGTTTAGACAAGAATTGCTCACAGGGCTCTTACAAACCTGCATTCCATTGGGATGTCCAAACAGATGACCTCAGGCCGAGGCGAGGGTGGGGAAAATGCCCTCAGGGAAAAGTGTTGGGGGGCGGGGGGCAGTTCCGCTTAAAATGTGATGTGAACGTGTCGATTTCAATAGTACAAAGGAAAGAACTTGTACAACAGATAGAAACAGTCATGGCAAATCCAACATGCCTGAAATGCAGAAGCCACCCTCTCGGTTAGCGGGAAGCTTGGCTCTCCCCATCAGTCGCCCAGCTGTACTTGTCCATGATGTGCTCTGCCAGGCCAGCTCTGCTGCAAATTGGTGACACGTCACCCAATTCTTTGATGGATTTCATCTGCTCCTTGATGCAATTAGTTATGTTAGTCCGAAGACTAGAGAAACAAATCCATAGAAACTCATGTGTATGAGAGAGTTTTATATAAAGGGTAATTGTACATTAAGAAAGCATCCCAACCCAGTCCAGTCCAAGCCCTAAGTCCAATATTAGCCCACATGTCTGATACCGATCTATAAAGTCCTCTTCAGACTCACGAAACACATGCAATGAAGCCAAATGCAGGATGATCACAGGCCAGTGGATAGAAAGTCTTTGGATCTGGTGGCGTTGTAAGCCTCTCAGTGCTAGCAGGGGTCTCTACGTGGCTTCTCCAGCTACAGAGGTCTGGTTGCATCAGGGTAGGTCCATGTGGCTTCTCTAGTCCCGGGCACTAGTATAGATAGTTCCATGTGTCTTGTCAGTTGCAATGTCTCTCCCAGGGAATGAGCAGAGAGAGAGAGAGAGAGAGAGAGAGAGAGAAGTGTCTCTCGCCTCCAAGGAGGAAAAACAGGAGTTCCCAGAATTCTCAGGAGAAGGCCATGCCCACACAGAGGTCTCATTGGTTATATCTTGATTGACAGGCCAGACTCCACCCCTTCACTGGTAATCCTCTCAAATTGACACCAGGTTATGTAACTACCACATTAGTCTTCACAAATTCACACATTCGGGTTTTATCCATTAGTGGCCATCCACTTTCAGATGTCACGGATCCACACCTTACCAATGTGCAGGCCACTGACTTCCAAAAGACCACAGCCACTGAAAGCCCTCTGGGGAGCCGGTCTATTCTGAAATGCATGGTGTTGCCATGAGTCAAATCGACCCCATGGCAACCAGTAGGTAACCCTGCCTCCAGCCTGCTCTCCCAGGCATCACGGGTTGGTTTCTCCATATCCTTGGTTCTGCAACCTCCTCATTCGCTCAGCATATTCCTTCTCTTGATGAGCTCGGGGAAGAAAATATGTAGCCTAAAAACAACGCTTGGAAGTCAGGAAGGGTCAAGAGAAGGCTGAATGGAAAGAGAGAACCCAAGGAGAAGTGGGCAGAGTGCGGTTACACTGAGGGGACTGCAGGTGCCACATGACAAACTCTGTACAAATTGCTGGAGAACTAATTCACTCTGTAAACTTTCATCCAAACACGCCCCGCCCCCGAGAATATTTTCAGCCATGTAAGTGACGTGTCAAATCCACATGGAAGAAGCACACCAGCCTGTGTGATCCAAGGATTGTAAATAGTGAAATTCAAATCTGAAGGACGGAATGGTACCAGAGCTTAAATTGTGACAACAGGTTTGTACAAGGTCATGGACGACAGTGGAAGCCCCAAGCTCCATTGCCTTGTCCCCACGCAGATTGTCTCTGGTGACTTCCCTGGCTGTAGTCGAGGTTCGTGGATAGCTTCGCGGAAGACAAAGAGCATTGTAAAGTCAATGGTGGCAGATGGAGTGAGGTTAAAATGGAACACCTCAGCATTTGTTCTCCCTTTCGTTCCATTCTAAGGTTGTTTCAGTTTTTAATAGTTTCTTTGGTTGTTTGTCTGGTCATTGTTGTGGGGCTTTTGTTTCCGGTCTGTGTTTCACATGATTTCTGTATATGAAGTCCGGCATCGGCAGTGCCGAGAGAGAATGAGCGGATCAATGACTGCCTAGGGGCATGGCAGGGGAAATAGAGGGAAATGGGAGCTAACGAGAATGAGCACAAGAAGAACCTGCTCTGAACTTGATTGTGGTGATTGCACAAATCGTAATATGATTAAATGGTATGATATGAAAGCATATGCCAACAAAACTATTTTTTAAAACATTTGGCAAATTTCATCAAAGTCACATCACCATGGTCAAAGTCAGAAAAACATGAACACTGGGTCGATGTAGGGGCTCAGACCCTGGCGCACCACTCCGCAGGAAGTGGAGAGGCAGCTCTCATACCCTGGGTCCTCCAGGCACTGTGGGACCAGGGCACTCCGGGACCGGGCAGGCCGACTGTCCTCACTGCCGTCTTCTGATGGCTTTTAGCAGCAGCCCGTTTCATAGGGTCTGAGGGTCAGCAGGGACTTAAGAGCTTTCAGGGGGCATTTTCTGTGTTCTTAGGGGGTCGTTGCTTCCTTTGTCCCGGGTAAGTCAGCAATAATCTAGACACGTGGAGGGTATGTACTTTGTCACTAGGGCTCACGCCTTAAACATGCTCACTGAAATAATGCTCTTTCTGAGCCCCTCATAGGCCCCAGGGCTCAGCTTCAAGGAGCCAACGGGAAATCCAGGAGAAAGGGAAGGCATTCCTTTTTTTTCCAGCAGCAGCAGCAGGTCATAATCATTCTTTGCCTTCGAAGCCCCAACCACACCCCCTTTTCTGTCAGTTCTGCGCGTGCTCTGCTTCTTCCTCAGGAGACATTCTGAGTTTCGCTTTGGTTCACCAGGCCGCCTCCAGGTGAGGAGAAGATGTCACACCTTGGCAGGCGGTACGAGTTTATGCTGATTGCACAACGCTTCTTGACACGAACGAATTGTTGAATTAAAGACAGGTGGGTTCTGTCTCCATAAAACTGTTTTTTATAAAGCAACAAAAAGGTTTATACTCCTAGAAAGGAGGAAAAGAAAATACCATGGCTGGGGTCAGGCGCACCTGAAGCCTCAAAGTGACATCTTTGCTCTGTAACATATATCTGTTTTCCTCTGATTGCTCTTTAATACTTTAAAGAAGTCAGCTGCTGCTTCTAGGAACAGATTGTGATCAAGTAAAATGAACGCTTGGCCAGTTTCCAGAGGGGGCGGGGAGCTTATCCTCCCCGAGAATGGTCCACTAAGAAATGGACAGAAACGGTGGAATTCTGTGCAACTAAACCACGAGTTGCCCAACTTATTTGGCCTACCTCATCCTTTCCAGAAAAACAAACAAAACCCTCAGCATCCCGACAATTGACAACGCTTGGACTCTACAGAGCCCATCGCCAGGGCCATGTGTGGGGTGTCTGCTTTTGCAGTGCCCCTGGAAAGCTCACCTCCTTTAGGAAACACTGAACTAGAGCCAGCCTGGGGGAGGGGGCAGTTACTGGTTTAATGGGTGGGCAGGATGTGCAGCTTCAGGGGCACCCTGAGCAGAAGGTGCTAGGCCACTGGCCTCTGCAGACATCTTCCAGACAGCTGAGCCTGACTGGCCCGGGGGCAGCCCGGCCAACCAGGGTGGGCTGTGCCAGCATCTGCACAGTGGCCGGAGCCTTCCGAGTGCCAGAATGTGTTATGGCTCTGACTGACCTTGACCTTGACCATGACCATGACCATGACCATGAAGTCACCGGTGGAAATCAACAACCAGTTCAAGAGAAATCAATAGATACAACATTGGGCTGGGAGAGAGGTGTTCTCTCTGCGTGGACCCGCCCGTCACTGGCTGAGCAAGCATTTCCACCTTCGAGGATTCTCTTGATTTCCATTGAGCATGCTCCCCGGATAGGACTGACGGCTCTGATCATTTGCACTCCACTGGCACCTACTGTGGGGGAGAATGTCGCTGGTGACGCGGAGGCCTGGGGGTTCTGACAAAGGACGCTTTGCTTTAGATTGTTAAGAAAAATCTCACTTTATGAAAAAAATAATTTAGGAGGTCCTCCCTGGAGGACAACTGTACAGTCAAAGCACAGAGGTAAGGGACCCGCAGGGTGTGTGCACAATCCAGGGAAGCGCCAAGCCCAACCCTACAACTCTCGCTAGAAAAGGTGTCTTAACCCGCCACTCGGAGGCTGGCCCTGCCCAGCTACGGGTAGGTGTATATGTGCAAGGCCGGGTATGTAGCCATGGTGGGGCGGCCTCTCTTGATGACAGGGTATGAGCTCCTGGTCCAGGTGTGTTTCAGGCCTGGCGCAGGCTCTTGGCTGCTGCTGGTGCTTCTCTTGGCGAAGGGGCAGGATCCTGGGAAGCCTGCCTTCCTGCTCTGTGCAAACAAGAGACAGAAGTCAGAATCACTTGGCGCGGTGATTTCTAAACGTAGAGTTAGTGGTTGGGGCTGATTGTCCATGGGGTTAAATGCATGAGATCGATCTGCATTACCCCCAAATACCAAAGTGGTTGCCAGCATCCAATCAGAGGGCAGACTCAAAGCCAGCATCTGTCGGGCCCTCAGGCAGCCAAGCAAGGCTCCTGCGACACTTCCTTGCTCCAGAGAGTGGATCAGCAGGAGGGAAAGAGGGCCCTGCCACCCTGCCCTCCTGAACACTCCCTGCCCACACCACACTCAAGCTTGTGGGCCGAGGAAGTAAAGGCAGAGGTTTGGCGCCCACGCCTCCAGGACACGGTATCCACGTGGATCCGGAGTGACGTGGCACTGCTTAGCTAGCCTGGTTCCATTGACGGGTGTGGTTTGAGCCCCCACTGCCTTCTTGCAGTGGGTGCTGAGGGAAACAAGGGCAAGTGCTTCCCCTGTTGGTCTGTCAGCAGAACCCCTGTTGGGCTGACTTTATATGAACCTCTCTTCACAGCTCAACAGCTTCAGGGATATCATGGTGAGCGCTCTTATGTCACCCTTCCTGGAGGACCCTTGACTTAAGGGTGGGGACCACGTCCTTAGTGTCCTCACAGGGTGCCACAAGTTTTCCATGTGTGGCAGTTGTTGTTAGTTGCTGACGAACCAGCCCCAAGGCACGGGGGTCCCATGTGGCTCTGCCCAGGCCTGAGCTACCCGGATCCCAGCGAGTAAGAGAGCATCGCACGGGACTGGGGAGGCAGCGGGACCTTCTTCGTGGGATGGACCCGGTGGTTCTGCACCTTAGCTCCATGCAGACCCAGGTGAGCAGCAGGCTCCCATGGAGGGAAGCAGGGCTGCTGCCAATGCCGGCTTGCCAGCCAGTTCCCCACCCTTCTCCCCTCCCACGCAGGGAAGAACAGATCACTGCCGATGCATGAGGAAGATGCTGTTATGGGATAAATGTGGGTTCCCACGCACTCACAGGGCTCGGTACTGGTGAGTGAGGCCCTCACAACTGCCAGTGACATGGTGCGTGCTAATGGTCTCCCATGGCAATTGAGAGCCGCACCGGGTCCCTGGTGTGTTGCTACGGGGCTACCAGATAAAGGCGGCAGTGGCGGAGCAGTGGAGCCCTAGTGGTGTAATGGTTGTACGTGGGGCTGCTAACCATAAGGACAGCAATTGGAAACCACCAGCTGCTCAGCGTGCGAAAGTTGAGGCTTCCAACTCCCATCGAGAGGTGTAAGCTTGGAAACCCACAGGGAAGGTACTACCCGTCCTGTTGGGTTAAAGTGAGTCAGATTCACCCGGGGACATAAAATGCTTGAGGGTGGGTTCTGGGAGGGCTTCCTCTGGTCCCTTGCAGATTGGGTCCCGGGGTTGTCAGGTGGCTTGCAGCCTGAGAGGGTCAAGGGCCATGAGCATTCCCCAGAACAACATGAACCCGAGAAGGCCAAGCATGTGGAAGGCCATCCCCGTGTGCACCAGAGCGGTAGGAGAGCCTGTCCGTCAGCAACTGTGTGTGCTCACGATGTAAGTGCGCACGGCACCTGTGTTCTCTCTTTACTCTTCATCAGGAGCAGGGTGGGCATCTTGGCGGGATCCAGGGAGGCACCCTGGCCTCTTCCGCTTGAGCAGGCCTGCAGCAAACAAGCACACTCTCACTGCACTGCCCACGGGAACAGGGCTGCCAGACAGAACATGTGCTCATGCACATGGAGTCACGGTGCTGCTCAGACACGGAGAGGGAGACAGGACACAACCAAACCAGCCCATGGGAAGAAGGAGAGAGAGCCAACATTGACGAAGCGCCTGCCAGGTGTGTGCTCGGGAGCCCTGAGTGGTGCAAACGACTGACGTCATGCTGGCCTGCTACCCAAAAATCCATCCAGAGGTGCCTCAGAAGAAAGACCTGGTGACCCAATGCCCACAGACCCCCAGTGGGGTTGCCATGCATTGGAAATGACTCGGTGGCAAATGGCTGTGTGTGTGCCAGGCGCTCTACACGCGTCTTCTCATCTAAGCCTCACTGCGGCCATGTGATTCAGGTGTTGTTGATCATATTTTCCCACAAGTTAGCCAGAGAGAGCCAGGCCGGCCACAGGCTGAGGCTGTGACTCCCTTGCTCATCATCAGGAGAGGCCATGGGTGGAAAGGAACATCAAGTTTGGCAAAGTGGAGGGGCATCCAAGGCCAAGGAAGCCCTCAGGAGGATGGGCAGACACGGTGTCCACCACAGTAGGCTCAGCCGTACCAAGGACCAGGGGTGGGCTGTTTCCTTGTGCTCTGACCTGATGCCAGCTACCACGCCTTTCAGAGGCAGGAACAAGGCCGGGGCAGTGACCTCGCTGTGGAGTATGAAGCTAGGAAGACTGACACCTGGAATCTAGGCAGAGTTCATACTTGGGCCTGTCCCTCGCCTACACCAGACACGGTGGCCCTCAATACCAAACAGGGACAGCTGGGGTTCCCCTGTAATTGCAGAACCTGGGGCAACATTCAGCACCAGAAGGAGCCCTGTCTGTACGGTCTCACTCACTGCCATCTAGTCAATGCTGTGAGTTTCTGAGACTGTCACTGTGTATGGGAGTTTCGAACTGCAGACCATGTGGATCGCAGCCCAATGCATAACCACCACGCCACCAGGTACCAGGCTCCTGTCTTGTATCCTATCTAGCCACAAGGAATCAGCTGTGACTGTATCTAAACTGAAGCTCATACATAAAAGAATCCCAGTTTTTTAAATGTGTTATAACAGTTTCTCTCATACAATTCAATAGTTCCATCATATCAAGTAGAGTCGTACTGTCATTAAGAATCCCTGGCTCTATAGCCCCTAAAGCCATCTAGAAGGTGACGGAGAGCCTGCCTGTTCCCACTGCACTCTACTCTGACAGGCTTTCCTGAGCCCTTGCTCAGATGCCCAGCAGTCCCGAAGGCCCTGAGGCCAGCACAGTGTTTTGCTCAATGTTCTATTCCAGCAGAGTGCCCGGCACTTAGTAGTGAGCAATAAGATATGTTGAGGATGGATGGATGGGCAGATGGACGGATGGACGGATAGGCGGACGGAAGGAAGGAGGATGAAAGGTAGGTAGAAAGGCTACGAAAGCAGCCTGTTCTGCTGTTTTTGACATTAAATCACAAACCACCGAGCATGTTTGAGGCGAGAGGTCGGGGGGTGAATAGTCCAATGGAGTGCCAGTGTCCCCACCAATTCGAGTGTCCCCTGCTCCCAGTGGCAGTGGCAGGTGAGGATGGCACAGGGGACGCGCTACCTGGAGGAAGCAGACCATCTGTGATGCAGTGGAAAGCAAAAACGCTACCTCATTCGATCTTGGTTTGTTCTGTCTCATTACTGAAGAGCTGGGAGCCTCGGACTTCTGGGAAAAGGCAGCCTGCTTTTTCAGAGTGGAAGCAAACCCTGCCCTTTCCTAGAAGGAGTGAGCAGAGAGAATGCTTTTCACCATCCACTCACAGTTGACACCATTTGTTCCCACCTCGGAAAGCGCGTTCCTGCTCTGGGAAGCAGCGGTGTAGTAGCCAAGGGCAAGACTAGGAGGAAGCCATCCAGGGGTCCCTGCCCGAGGTCAGACCTGGCTCCTCAGCCACCCAGTCACTCTGCACCCACTCAACCCCCGACCCCCCACCCCCACGCCGCGTGTGCACACACATACACCTTTCCAGCCCCACCTCTTTCTTCTGAAAGTCCAGATTGGTCCCAACTGAGACGTGAAGTCTCTGAACTCACCGTGGGCAGTCTGTGACTAAGCCTTCGCCTGCTCGCTTCCTGCCCCCCCCCTCCCGCAGACGGCAGAGGCAGCAGGGCTCTTACCCGGCCACCTTCGGGTAGCCGCGACTCCGGCCTCAACTTGTTCTTCTGATAGTGCTCATCCCGCTGTCCCCTGGTCTGCAGCGGCTTCTTCATCTTCTTCTTCTTATACATCTTCTTCTTCTGGTTCAGCTGTTGCAGGAAGGACAGAGAAACCCGTCAGGGGGTCCAGCGCTGCCCGCCTGCCAGTGCTCAATAGTCTCATGAACACTCGACGCAGGCCCAGAGCCCTCCTGGCAGGCCTGCACCCTTGTCAGCGGCTTCTTGCTATCCAAAAACCCCAGAGCACACTATCCGAGCTACACCGCCAAGGCCACCCGGCCAAGGTCTCTGTAGTTTCCAGTATGAAATCGGTTCACACTAGTGCCAGGTCCACGTGAGGCTGCCTTTTAGATGTGTGGCTCAAACAGTCAGTGTGGCCCAGATGAAGCCAGGCGAGCCGTCCAGAAACTGCTCTGTGGGGGAAGCTTCTGGGAGAAAGTGCGGGGAAGAGTTTGACTGGCTGGCTCCTCAGCCTGGCCTGATCCTATGAGGGAGAGGGTTCCTATGGTAACGAGGAAATGGGGGGTCTGAGGGGGCTTCCAAAAGTTCACGGAGACATTTCATTCTCTTTGAATTCCATTTTGTGCACAAACTCTTTGTGAAGCTCCCTCACACAATAAAGCAAAATAAATCATTTTGTTTTTACTGACGCTTTATGGCATCTGAGCCAAGAGCGAATGCCTGTGAGCAGAGGGGGCAGGAGGGTGGCTTGATATGCACCGCCAGCCATCGTACAAGCCAGCACGGGCCTTTGCAATAACCGTTGTCTCAACGGGGTTTTCATCTTTAATGAAAACTGTGGCATTAGCATGCATTCCTCATGTGCAGTGCTATGCATGAGCTGTGCACGAGGTCTTCGGTGGCTTCTCCCTCTGAAGTGGGGAGCCAAGTCCTCCTTCATCGTCTCTGCTTCCTCTGGAAGCTCTGTCTGTTCACTGTGGGCGACCCCGCTGGCACTTGAAAGACCAGTGACATAGCTTCTCGCAACACAGCCACACACAAGCCACCATGAGAAGAAAGTGACAGAAAATGGTGGTGGTGCGTTTTGTTTTGTTTTACATTGACTAAGACAGACAGCCAGACAGAAAAGTAATCAATGCATTTGAATGGTGGTGCTGGAGAAAAATATCCCAAGTACCAGGACTGCTAAAAGGACAAACTGAGCCGTCTTGGAAGAAGCATGGCCCGAGTGCTCCTGAGAAGCAAGGATCTCAAGACTTCGTCTTCGTACTTGAGACAGATTGTCAGGAGAGACCAATCACGTTTGGTCAAGTAGGAGCCCCTCGGTGAGCTGGAGGGACCCAGTGGCTGTATCAACAGCATACGGGCCAAGGGGAGGACGAGACAGGGCCGTGCCGTGTCTCCTCCTGTTGTGTACCGGGCCGCTGGGTGTCAGACTGACTCGATGGCAACAACAACAATGTCTAGTTTATTCCCCCACATTTTTTAAAGCATGAAATGAAAACCCCAGGACAGGGTGACCAGCTAGGGGACTATGGCTCTAATTTCTGATGATAGAAGGAAATTATAATCCTGGTTGTTTTCTGCAAAATTCTACCCCAACCTCCAGGTCTAGCATGATGTTTACATACCGTTCTCTGTAGCCTTACCTCATCTGCTATGCTCAGTAGATGGGCTGGGAGACCATCGGAGCAGGAGCTGTCCGACCCACTGGTGCTGTGCCCCAAAAGAAAGAAGGCAGGGCAGTAAGTTGTCAGCGCCTCTGGAAGTGTAAGTCTATCAACCTCGCTGCACAGATTAGAGTATCTAGTCTTATCTTTGTCTCAATGACTCTGGAATTCTGGACAAGCACATTCATTCACTCACTCACTCACTCACTCATTCATCCTGGACGCCTACTCCCGGCGGAGTTGGGCCCAGGGTATAGACAAAGGAGGCAGAGTCCCTGGTACTAAGGGCTTCTCAATCCGTGTGACGAAGTGAAGACTGGCCAGATGGACAATGCTGCCCTGGGCAGTGGCTGGGGGAGGCTGCAGCAGTCTCAGTGCACAAGCTGGGGGGCTGTGATTTGTGTGGGAGCGGTCTGACCAGGACCGATTCAGACAGCCAGGAACCCTCAGGTTACTCTGTAACAAGGGGCTGACTGTATAAGGAAATCGATTGAACCGAGACCGGAAGCATCAATTCTGTCACTCCAATTTTCCTTTCAAAATCTTAGATGCTCACGACTGTCTCCTCCTCATTCTCTCCTGTCGTCGGGCTGACCCTAACGGCTGTAACTTCACATTCTGTCTAGACTGTGGCCCACTCAAACCCCGTCACCACCATGCTGGTCTAAGCTCCCATCCCTTTCCCTGCCTGACTCTTCTGGTTAGTTGCTGGCACGTTGGCCCTGACTCATAATGGTCTATGCACCATCGAACGAAATACTGTCCGGGCCTGCACCACTCTCATAAGCGTTCTGTGGCGTCTACGGTGTCAGTCCATCTTGCTGAGGTTCATGCTGATCCTCTACTTTATACCAAACACGATGTCCTCTCTGAAATGTTCTGTTCAGCTCTTTGGCGTCCACTACTTTAGTTTTAGCTGCTCTACATTCCAGAGCAAGCCTCAGAAGCTCTTCTGACACCCACTTGGGTCTTTTCTTTCCTGTCTTTCTCAGGACCTTTTTGCATTCTTCGTGGATGATGCTCTTGAGGTCATCCATGGTCTTCTGTCCTTGGTGTCTAATTCTCTAAATCTATCCTTGAGATGTTCTCAAAATTCAGGTGGGATAGACTCAGAGCTGTATTTTTGGCTCTGGTGGACTTGTAATTTTCTTTAGTGTCAACCTGAACTTACGTACGAGCAATTGATAGTGTGCTCCACAGTCAGCTCATTGCCTTGCTTTGGCTGCTCATGTTGAGCTTCTCCATCGCCCCTTCCTATCGATGCAGTCGATTTGATTCCAGTTTCCATCGGGGGAGACCCACATGTATAGCTGCCATTTATGTTGCTCAAAAAAGTTATTTATTGGGCATCTCCTCACAGAAGGGTCACATGAAGAGCCAGTCAGGGTGCAGTGTAGCACCAATGAAACATACAATTTTCCTCTAGTTCTTTAAAGCTTCCTCCGCGCCCCCACTATCATGACCCCAATTCTACCGTACAAATCCAGCTAGTCCAGAAGATGCACACGGGTACAGATAAGAGCCCAAACACAGGGAATCCAGGGAAGATCAACCACTCAGGACCACCAATGAGAGTAGCAATACCAGGAGGGGAAGGGGAAGGTGGGGGGAGAAAAGGGGAACCGATCACAATGATGTATATATAACCCCCTCCCAAGGGGACAGACTACTGAAAAGTGGGTCAAGGGCAACAGCGGTCAGTGTAAAACATTAAAAAAATTATAAATTATCAAGGGTTCATGAGGGAGGGAGTAAAATGAGCTGATATCAAGGAGGGCTCAAGTAGAAAGAAAATGTTTTGAGAATGATGATGGCAACAAATGTACACATGTGCTTGACATGATGGATGGATGGATGGATTGTGATAAGAGTTGTACGAGCCCCAATAAAATTATTTAAAAAAAAAATCTACCATAAAAAAATAGCTAGGGCAATGAATGTACAAATGCACTTTACACAATTGATGTGTGTATGGATTGTGATAAGAGTTGTATGAGCCCCTAATAAAATGATTTTAAAAAAATAGCTAATACCATAGACATTTCAATAGATCCAGCTAGCTTATATACTTCTCACTGAAAAATTAAAGCTGAGCAAACTTTCTCTTTAATGGGTTTCAAAGATGCGCCCCTGCTTATTCCTCTCATCAAAGCAGGGCAATTTTGTGAGAGTTCTGATGGGAAATGTTTCCTTTTCTTTTTTTCTTTAATCATTTTATTGGAGGCTCTTACAGCTCTTTTACCTTTCCATACATCAATTGTATCAAGCACATTTGTACATGTTGCCATCATAATTTTCTAAAATTTACTTTCTATTTGAGCCCTTGTTATCAGTTCCTTTTCCCCGCCTCCTTCCCTCCCTTCCACCCTTGTGATCCCTTGATAAATTACAAATTACTATTGTTTTCATATCTTACACTGACCGCTGTCTCCCTTCACCTACGTTTCAGTTGTTCATCCCCCTGGGAGTGGGGATTATGCTTTGACCATTGTGATCGGTTCCCCCATTCCTCCCCACCTCTCCCCACCTTCCTTCCCCCTTACCCTCCTGGTATCGTTACTTCCATTTCTGTTCCTGTGTCATGAGCTCTTATCTGTACCAGTGTACATGCTCTGGTCTAGACAGAACTGAAAGGCAGGACTGGGGGTTATGATAGTGGAGGGGGTTAAGAGCCTCAAAAAAACCAGAATAATATTGTCTGTTTCATTGATGCGATACTGTGCCCTGTTTGACTCATCCCTTCCTTGTGGGGTATTGTTTCTTAATCTTAAAAAAAATTTTTTTTCTTAATGTAAAAAAAGACTGCATTTCTAGGACCATCAGTTCCTTAGGCATTAATAAATGTCGGCTCATTACTTGTAAACATGTCTTGAACTTGATATAGCATATGTTGAGAAATAAAAGTTTACATGTTGTATCTTTTTCTTTTAACTCCACTTTTCCCACGAACTTTTGAAGTCCCCTTGTATTTATAAAGATACTGTTTGCAATAAAAAAAAAAAAAAAGCTTTCAAAAGCTTTCCATTTCCCGTGAAGTAAAAGCCAAAGGTTTTATTGACAATGGCCTACAAGGTCCTACACGAACTGCTTGCCCCAGTTCCTACCCCTTCTTAGTGTCCAGAACAGAGGCTAAAGCAGGACTCAGTATACAGTGGTTGAAGGAATTGTGTGTCCCTAAGTGTGCTCGGACGGAGGAGTATGCTTTCTTCAGTGTTTGCACTTGAGGTCCAACACCAACCAAGCAATCTACACTAAACCAAACCAAACTGACCAGCCAACCAACCAATCAGCTGAGCAAAAAAAACGTTCACAAAGACAGAACTTCTGTGGCTTTCCCTGGAAATGAAGTCAGTCACCTGGATTCAATGTCAGACAAAGAGATGTCCCTCCAGCTTTCCTCTAAATTCACGGCTCCTCCAAGGTCACTGAATTTCTTATGGATTTCCTGTTGTAAGAGCTCTTCCAGCTCGGCTAGACACTTTGTGTACTGTGAAGAGAAACAAAACACTGTTCTACCCATAGTTGCACATTAAGAACTCTGAAAATCACTGGAAGGTCAATTATTGCTGGGGACATAAAGTGGAATAAACTGGGAAGCTGGCTGTGAAGGACATGCTGACAAGCCAATTGCCTGCGCTGGGGGGACAGGTAGACAGCCTTTCCAGAGCAGCACATCAGTGAGCACGACTTTAGCCACTTCTTTCTGGCCAGTGCTAAACTTCCCAGACAATGTAATGGCATGATTGGCTTCATGGTTTTGAGTAGGAAAATGTAAGAAACTGAAGAATGGGATTGCTCAGATTTTTGCCTCTGGCTAAGAGGGAGTGGGTTACTCATCAGGCTGCTGCTACCGGCAAGGTCATCAGTTTGAAACCATGCGCTGTTCAGTAGGAGAAAAAGGAGGCTTTCTACTCCCTTAAAGAGTTACAGTCTCAGAAACTGACAGGGGCAGTTTCTACCCTGTCCTCTAGGGTCGCCATGAGTCAGGCTTGACACGATGGCAGTGACTGAGTTTGGAAGATGATATAATAGGTCGCAGTATGGGCAAATTCTTCGTTAGGTAATTTTGATTAAACAGGTGCACATCAGCAATGTTCCCAGGACCAGCTTTTCTGGAAGGGCATGAGGGGTAAGTTCCTGACCGTGAACACAGACTCCCTTTCAAGAACTGAGTGATGAAAGGACATGGAGATACCGGCCAAAGGTGGTCAGTGTCTGGTTTAGGGAGGGACAGCCTGAGCACATCTGCAGTTGGGGGGAAGTAAGAGGAGGACAAGGCGGAGGACACAGACGAAAGGAAAGAAGGAGCGAAGACTACAGGGACGCTGTCAGGGAGGCCACTAGCTGCACCCAGGGCAGTGTTGGTTTGGGAGAAGCGAAAGGACACTGCTTTCCTGAAACAGGAATGGCAGCAGGAAGCATTGGAGCTGCTAAGGGCAGAAGGAGGAGGTATGACAATCTCTGCCTTCTTAGTGAATTAGGACGTCTGATGATTGGGTGGGCGAGGCGGGCTCGATGATCTCATTGGCTAGAATACCTGCAGAAAGGTCATTGGAAAACATGATTCCAGAGGCGGCCTTTGGACTCACCTACAGCTGCTCGCGCTGGCATCTCTCCCTTTCTTTTTCTTTTATACTTTTTATTGTGGAAATTCCCAAGCTTATATAAAAGTAGAAACAATCGGATAATTCGGTAGTTCTCAGGCGCTGGTGTTAAAACACGACTTGGTTCAGGGGTCTGTGGTAGGGTCTGAGGCTGCAGCTCTAACAAGTTGCTAGGTGACACTCAGGCAACTGGTCTGTTGACTGCATTGTGGGTAGTAACGCTCTAATGAACTCCCAAGTACCATAACCCAGCTGCACCAACTATTAATGCAGAACCCCTCCTCATCCATTCTCATTCCTTTCAGGTCATTTTGAAGTAAATTCCAGACAGATGGAATGATTCCACCTTTAAGTATGTTAGTATCTCATTTGAGAGAGATACATATTTCTAAATCATAGCCAGAATACCATGATCATCTCCTCCCCCAAATTAACAGTGATTCGTTAAATCAGCTAATCTCAAACTGGGGCAATTTTAAGAGAACAGGAGTGCTGTTAATGATTCTCACTCACTGCTATTGTGCTGGTGCTGACTCATATGTGCTACAGGACTGAGCAGCACTGTAAGTGTTTAAGGGAGCAGAAAGCCTACCATGCTAATGATTACTCTGGGACAGCAGATATAGACCAGGACCATCACAGGCAAACTGATATTTATAATTGCCCCACCAAGGGGTGAGACAGATGGGCATCCACTTAAGAGTGTTGCTTGATTTGTACAATAAGAAAAATAGAGGCTAGCACTGCTCTTGATGATTTCTGAGACTGTCATTCTTGACCGGAGTAGGAAGCCTCATCTTTCTCCCATGAGGCAGCTGCTGGTTTTCCACTGCTGACCTTGGTGTTAGCAGCCCAATGCATGCCCTGATGAGAGGAACTCACTGCCCCTGGATGTGATACTAGATGATTCAATCTGCATGGACTCCAACTTGACTTAATTGGAGTGACTTGTGCTGTCAGCACCATTTGCATTTTTCCCCTCTCACTTTATTGGGGGCTCTTACAGCTCTTATAACATTCCATACATTGATTGCATCAAGCACATGTGTATGTGTTGCCGGCAACATTTCCAAGACATTTTCTGCTTGAGTCCTTGATATAAGCTCCTCATTTTCCTCTCCCTCCCCCCCCTCCTACCCTCCTATATCCTTGATCAATTAGATATTATTATTTCATATCGTACACTGTCCTTCGTCTCCCTTCACCCACATCACTCCATTCTTGAGGCCCCATGCCTACCTTGGTTTGGTCGGGGTCACAGAAATCCAGGAGGGTATCACAGACATGATAGCCTAGGGATTCCAGGTCCTCGGGAGTAAAGTGAGTGTCTCTTTTACTGCCTGGAAAGAACCCAGAAACATTTCAAAATCCCAGTCACTTTATGACTCTCTCTCTCTCTCTCTCTCTCTCTTTTTAGCGAGAGCGAGCCTTTACAAGTCGGCTTTGCAAAATCAGGCACCCAAGCTCGAGAGGACAAAATGGGCCAGCATGCCCACCCATGGTCTCATGATGTATGACTCTTGATAAGGATCCTCTCTGCTTCCAGATCATTATGTTTCTGGATGGGGCAGCTCTATTTCTGTTTTAATGTGGTTCAGAAGACTCATTGATAATTTTTTTAAAAAGCTCACCAGGATCGTGGCTCTAATTATTGAAGTTTTATTTGCAGTAGGCACTAGGCTGAGTGTTTTGTATGCATTTTCCCATTAGGCAGGATTCAGAAGAGAATGTGGACTAAGGGATATCATTGCTGATTCAGAAGGATCTTAGCTTCTGAGTACCAGAAAGATGTTTACTGTGCTTCACTGGCCATGCAAAGGCTGTGTAGATTATAACAAATTATGGGTAACATTGTGGAGAAACGGGAATTCTAGAACACTTAATTTTGTACGGGAGGAACTTCTAACACAGACCAGGAGTCTCATTAGAGGCTGTAAGGATTGTAGCCTCTCCCCGTACTTATTCAATCTGAATGTTGAACAAAGAATCTGAGAAATTAGACTATCTGTAGAAGAACTCAGTATCAGGATTGGAGGAAGACCCCTTAACCTGAGATATGCATATATCCCAACTTTGCTTGTGAAAATTAATAGGACTTAGATCAAAGGATACAGCCTTCAGTTTGGATTGTATCCCAACATAAAGAAAACAAACAAACAAAAATAAGCACCATCACGTAAGTGGCGAAAAGAGGGAAGGTGTCAAGGTTTCATTGTTCCTGGGCCCACAACCCACACCCATGGACGCAGCAGTCAGGAGACCACATGACGTCCTGCACTGGGAAATACGATGCAAAAAACCTCTTTAAGGAGCCAAAGTAAAAATCAAAACTGCCACCTGGAGGAGTAAGGCCCACCTGCCCCACGGTCCTCTGAATCTCCCCTCCATGCCTGTGAAAGCTGGCAGTGCGTGGGGAAGCCTGGAGAAGAATGGATGCCTTTGAATGATGGTCTTGGGAAGAATATTGGATGTGCCACAGACTGCCAGGAGAATGAACAAATCCGTCCGGGATGAAGTCCAGCTAGAATGCTCCTTAGAAGCGGGGATGGCACAACCTCATCTCTCCAGCTTTGGACATATCACTAGTGGGGGAAAATCTCTACAGAAAATGCCATGCTGGGTCAAGCGGATGGTCAGCAAAGAGGAGGAATAGGCTCAGTGCGATGGACCGACACGGTGGTTGCAGCGATGGGCTCAGACACAGCAGACTGGGCGGGTGGGGCAGCACTGGGCAGCGGGTCCTTCTGTTGAACAAGAGGTGTTGCTCAGAAAGGCACACAATTGAACTACGGAGGGGCTGAAGTTGACTACAAGTAACGGAAATGGTGGATGGAGGGCGGGGGGCGGGGGGGAACTATTGTGTCTATCATAGTGGTATTATCATTATTGCCAGTGAAAGGGAAATGAGATTGAAAGAGGTGAAGTAACTGACCCAGGATCATTGTGTAAACCCCGATGTGCCTGATTTCAAAGATCTATCAATCACAATGAAATTCTGTCCCCATCAAGGATTATGATTCACATCCATATTTTGGGCACTCAAAAACAGACCTCCTCTGGATCAATTCCTTCCCCAACACTCAAGAGGATTTCTTCTCCCCAGGTGCTCTGCGTGGCCACGCTGGCCTATAACCAGCCAGGAAGAACTTACCTAGGGTGGACCCGCCAAAGGTGGACTCCATGGTGTAGCTGTACAGGATGCCCATCCGCCACATCACAACCCGTCCCGTTCCTTCTTTGCACTTCTGGACCTTAAAGTTACAACTATGGAAAGAGAACTAAAGAGAGACCCAAATCCTCCATTAATCATCAACGGGCAAAAGTAAGATGTCTAAGATTCATTAATATAAGAATAGTTCCCTTGGTGCCTGTCGATTATTTCCTAAAATACTAAAGAATATTTTCCGTAACATTTTCCATAAAATACTAAGGGAGAGAGGCCAGAAGGGAAAGAGAAAAGGCAGGCAGTCTGTGGAGTCCATCCAACTCCTTCTTTTCAAAGAACACTGTCTCATCTCCCGTTCGGGGAGAAAACTGGTGCTCTCCTTTAAACATTGTTTCTAATCCAGCCCGATATCTTCTTTCTGATGACAGCTATCCTTTCTGGATTGACAAACCACCTTCGGAGTAAAGGCACTGCGCACGCGCTGCTCTCTAGAGCAGTAACTCGGTCCCTTTAGCAAATATTTTCAGGACTTTTCATTCGCCTTCAGAATCTTACAGTTCTTCGTGATCTCGAATGAGGGACACTTTTCTGTGAGGGCTCCTATCTCGGTTGGCCCTTCTATCCCTTCTTGCTCTACAGCCACAAAATTAATGACAGAGACAACTTGACCTCCCAAGAGCGTCTGCTGTACCTAGGAGAAGCCACCTGAGCAATGAAAAAAAAATCTTGATTGAGACATAATTCACACTGCCATAAAATACACCCTTCTACAACCCACAAGTCAATGGTTGAAGTATAGCCACAGAGCTCTATTCGCCTCAACCTAAGATTAGACTTTCCTCATCACCCCACAGAAACCTGTACTCATTAATAGCCACGCCCCCGCCCGGCTCCCCCTAGCATGTACTGGTATCTGAGCCCTTTTTTATTGCTGAACAATGTTCCATTGTGTGGCTAAACCAAATGGTATTCACCCACTCATCCATCAGGTGACTGACGCAGAGCCATTTCTAAAGCCACACCTTCCTAGTTCTTAGAGCCCAGGTGGCTGGTACGATAGACCTGTGAGAGCTGGGACCTGGGTGAGGGAGAAACCTGCCAGAGAAGGAAAATGTGACTCTCTCCCACTAAGCCAAAGGATGAAAAAGAGGTCCGAGGGCACTCGGTTAAAGGCAGAAAACCGGCAAGCCCTGGAAAAACCGGGCAGTGACTGTGGGCTCGGACGCACATTTAACCAAGCTGACACAGCCCCTTGCCGAGGGGTCAGTCAAATGCGAAGTCCCACCAGCAGCAAGCGTCCTTCTCTCCCAGCCAGTGGGAAAATCACCTCCTGTCTTACCTTCTCCGGCACGTTCTTGCTTAGCATCAGAGGGAAGACTCGCTCGTGAAGCCAGTACTTGCGATCATCGCTGTTGCAGCCATACAGGAAGATATTGTTCTTCCGGCTGTGGCCGTGGAAATCGCAGTACAGCAGGACCTCCCTTTCTTCAAGAAGTCTTGCAGGGAGGAGGGTGATAAGCAAAGGCTCAGTCAACACGCTGTCATCGATACCTTCCCGCCTAAGAAAACCCCAACTCCAATCTCTTCTGCGTTAAACCAAACACCCTAGTTTCTAGAACATCTTTTATGTCCCTGCCCACTGGCTCCAACTCTCTGAACCAGCTGGGCAACACCTTTCCCATCCGAGGCTGCGTCCCTGCTGCCGCTCTGTCTCCTATGTGCTCTCGGGCCTGTCCAAGCCCCCTGCTGAGTCCTGTCCCCATCCTCAGCCACTGCTCCACACGTCACCAGAAGCCTCGCCCTGACAGTGAGGGGGGTTGGTGTGGAGAGGGCTGGAGGCAGGCCAGGCATGAGTTGAAAAGCAAGTGGAAGAAAACTGCAGAGAGAAAGGCCAGCGTGGTGCAGACCCGGGGAGGAGAGGCGGAGAGGCTGCAACTATGGAGCCAGACAGAGCCTCGGGGCCAGGCTTTCCAGGGCAGTTCCTGTGAAGCCCAGCTCTTCTCACCTCACCGCCTGCGGGAGTCTTGCAGGAAGGCTGCTCCATGACAGCTAGCCTAAAAACTACCACAAAAGCCAAACTGCCATTACAGGGACCCTACACTCTACAGGGTTTCTCAGGCATTGTATCTTATAGGAGCGGACAGCCTCATCTTTCTGCCGAGGAGCAGCAAATGGGTTTGAACTGTCGACCTTGCAGTTAGCCCCCCTATGCTATTCCATAGCGCCCCAGGGGCTCCTCAGAGTTAGCCTAAAGGGCCTTCTCTTTCTTCATATCTATACACCAGCTTGCCCAGGACACCTATGGCCAACTACCACACATGCTCACCTCCATGCTGATGATGCTAGAATGGCAAGGCCCCCAACCACTACCATTGCCACCCACTTCCACTTCCAAAGTGCTGGGGATTGTGCCACGTGACAAGGATTATCTCATTTAATCCTCATAATAACCACTCAAGGGCAGGTATCGTCTCCACTCTACAGATGAGCCTGATGAAGCCCACAGAGGTTTAATTCCTTGGCTGAGGTCACTGAGCCAGCCAGGAGTAAGAGCAGGCCTCGCATCTGGGCCCATCCTACTGCCTAAATGCAACTCTGGCGCATGCCCTTGGGCTGTGTGCCCATCAGCCCCACCCCGCTCTTAAGGCCTTTCCCCACAGTTATGGTGAGAAGGCACGCATCCCCACAGGCCTCTAGCTCTGTTCTGATTTCCAATGAAACGGGGATCCTTGGAGGAGGGTGCTGTACGGCACAGCGTTCAACTGCTCTCTCACCCAAACCAGAACCAAGCCCAAGGCCATCCGTCCAGTGGATTCTGACTCACAGCGGCGCCCTCTACAGGGTGTCCAAGGCTGTGACTCTTGACCAGGGCAGATCACCTCAGCTTTCCCCCATGGAGTGAGTGGCTGGTGGGTTTGCATGGCCGGCCTTGGGATCGGCACTCAACCCTTACCCCAGAGCCTATGTTCAAATATCCACTGTCCCCAGCCCTATGTCCTTGCGCAAGTGACTTCACCTGCCCGCACTGCCATTCCTTATCATATACCAAAGGCAGGGCACTCAACTCACGGGGGTGGGGGTGGCGGGAGACACCTGAAGATTAAATGGAGGTCTGTGCACTCTGCTGCCCTCTGAACTTTCCCATTTCATCAGCTGACTTATCAGCGGGATGACTTTACGCTTCAACCCAAAGATAAGCTTGGGGTTAGACGTTTAAAAATTAACAGAAGCCCACAACTGCACAGCGAATGGTAAAGAGGATCCCTATAGCCATTCTCAGTTTCCGTAGCATCGGAAGCGAGCTCAGCCCCGGCAGACGGGGATATCTATGCCAGTCCCCACAGCCTTGACAAAAAGATAGATAGCTACAGGCCCTCACCCTCACCTCTTGATCATGTTCCTGGTGTGCCAGATGCAAGGGAAGGACTCCTTCAGAATGGTCTTATAATGCCGGTTCAAGTCCCTCCCGGCCAACGAGCAGCGGTAATTGCCCACGATTACACCGTCCGGGTTTAACATGGGCACCACCTTGAAGACAAAGATGTCTCGGAGGAGCTGGGCATCTGGCGAGTTGCTAAGGATAAAGTCCAAGAAGCCTTTCATAATCCAGGAGCCGTTGCTTTCCCCGGGGTGGACTCGGGCGCTGAAGACCACAGCTTTCTTGGCAGCCGCCTCTTGGGGGCTTCGTGATGGGTTGGTGATGGTCAGCAGGTAGACTGTGTTCCCGGCTAGGCTCCTGCATAAGGTTCGGAGCTTGCAGATCTGAGAGTGGCCAGGGTTGTTTACCACTGACAGGAGGTAGCACTGCAGGTCTGTGTACGTGTACGGGTAGAAGTGCGCGAAGAAGCAAGTGTCCTGGTCGTACGGGAACTGAACGGTCCACGTGAGGCAGAAGAAGGGCTGCTGCTTCTCGTCGCTGGTGTTGTTCTTGTAGTACTTGATGTTGGCCCCCTCCCTCCTCCAGCCAACACCGCGGGTGTCGGCGTCCAATTCCGAGTACATGAGCGGCTTCATCCCTGTGGCGTACAAGCTCTTGGGCTTCAGCAAGTTGACGATGGTGAACCGATAGGTGATATCTTTCCTGGTGTTCTGAACCCGAAAATAAAACCACTGGGTATGCTTGTTTGTGTAGAGGTCGGTTCTCAGCGTAAGCTCATACTCGTAGGTGTCTCTGTCGTGGAGAGAACGAAAGCACATCTCTGTAACCTCTCAAAGACACAAACGAAAATCAGACCGAGAAAGCATTGTTCTTCGCTGGCAAAGAGAGATCTTATTACTGCAGAAAAACCTGTGAGAGCAAGTCAGCTAATCAGCATTTCCTAATTCTCCTCTTTCTTTAACCCATGTTAGGCTAGCGGCACTAGGGAAGTTTTTAGGTGTGGGACAGTGAGAGTACCAAAAACACACAGTGCTGTGCAGAACACCTGGGAGTACTGTGTTTCTTGATTCTTTCTCCATCTTTCTCCCTCCCACTCCCCAGCAGTGGAGACTGAGCCCTGAGATGGCTGTGTGAGCGGGTGCTTTGTCGTGGTGGCAAAACCAGTCCCCCATTTGCCACAAATCAGCCATTTTTGTCGTACACTGTTACACGATCTGTTCAGAACCTCTACATAGACAAGTTGATTAATAGTGGGCTAAGTTGATTAATAGTGGGACCTGGTGGAACCAATTCCAAATGCACTATCCCCCCTCACATAAAAAAATCAGATGAACATCATCTTGACCTTTAACTGGATGAGTTTTGGGGGGGCTAGGTGGTGTCTTCCACTGGCTTGATCGATGTTTGGTTTGGGGTCATAAGAATAGCACCGGATCTTGTCACCAGTAATGGCCTTGGAAAAAAGTCTGGGTCGCTTTGGAGCTGTTCTTTCAAATCATTGCATGTTTCCACTCCACCCTCTTTTCCTGGTCAGTCAGAATCTGTGGCACACATTTTGCAGTGACCCTTCTCATTCCCAAATCTTCCATTAAAAATGCGCCGAACCGAGCTCCAAGATAATCCAGAGAACTTCCTTTTCTCTTCAATGGTCCGTCGGTCTTCAAGCACAAGTGCATGAAATTCGTCGACATTTTCATCCATTTGGGAAGCTGACGGATGTCCAGAACAAGGTTTGTCATCAAGCAACACTTCACCTTTTTGAAACAAGAAAACCACTTGTACACTTGAGCTTTTCCCATAGTGCTGCCCTTGTCAGCTGTGTTCAACATCACAGCAGTTTCTGCAGCATTTTTCCTGAACAGGAAACAAAACTTCATAGCTGCACGCTGTTCTCTTAAATTGGCCATCACAAAAAAAAAAAAGGAGGTTCTAGCGAAACTTTTTTTAATGAAAAAATCTACTATGACCAGCGAGAACCTTCCCAGGAGACACCACTGAGTGCACTAACTCAGAATAGGTTGCTTAATACTCGCCTGGGGGTGGGAAATACGTACTAGGAACGCTCCGCCTAGCAGAACTCTTTACGTTTTTGGGGGCGGGTACCCTCTCATATTCTTCTACTTCATCCCCACTCCTACTTGCCAGCACCTCTATCATTTTGGCAAACCTTCCAGAGTCTTAACAGCATTCCCAAAGACATCTTGCCACCACCCCTCCCCTCCTCCTCCCCTTGGGGAATCTGTGTTGCTACTCACACTCTGACGGCTTTTTGCAGATTCCCACTCTCAAACCTGGACTCAAACAGCAGAGTGCTATCCGCCGGTCCTTCCAACGTGACCGCGAGTTCCTTGATAATTCCTCGTTTGCCTCCCACTCGGGAACTGGTGAAATAGGAATTTTCGGTGGGCACTGCAAATGAGAGCGATTCAGCCCGGGTTCCACCCAGGGTCTAGTTACTTTCATGTCAATAACAATTAATATGCAGATTCTCATGGGGCCTTCGCAGAGACTTTCATTTCTTAAAAATATATATTTATTTTTAAAAAATCACTTTATCAGGGGCAAATATAGCTCTTTTTAAAAAATCATTTTATTAGGGGCTCATACAACCCTTATCACAATCCATACATACATCAATTGTGTAAAGCACATCTGTACATTCATTGCCTTCATCATTCTCAAAACACTTGCTCTCCATTTAAGCCCCTGGCCAAATACAGCTCTGATCATAATCCATCCATACATCTACTGTGTCAAACACATTTGTACGTATGTTGCCATCATCATTTTCAAAACATTTTCTATTTGACCCTTTGGTATCAGCTCATTTTTTCCCCTCCCTCCCTCATGAACCCTTGATAATTTATAAATTAATTATTTTTTATTTCAATTCTCTTGTTGGGAAACATTTGTAATCTTATTCTAAAAAATAGATACCTAAACAGTACCTATTTGCTAATTAAAAAAAAAAGTAGGAAACAGAGAAAAAACTTTATAATAAATTTTTGTACTATCTCCTTTCAGATTTGAATATAATGGAACAAGAGGTATTTGAGAATAATTGATATGGGTAAATTTGCACAAAAAGGGAACTACGTCTTCATTGTTAGGGAAGAAGTTTTGGGCTGACATTTTATCGTGAAACTAAAAATTATTAAATATATTTTATCATATATAACAAAATTTAGGTGATAATCACAACTTCTTTTTAATCCTTGTGACAATTAAGAATCAAGTGTTGTTTTGTTTGTATTTGGGGGGGGCGGGATTTGCTATTTTCACACAAAATTCAGTGAAAAAGCTCAACTACTTTTGAAAAATAATTTTAGTGCTTCATAACTTTCTCAAAGGGCTTTTCCTTGTCCCGTGCCATTCATACAATAACAAGAAGATCTTATTTTGCCAAATTTGTAGTATTTCTAGTGTTTTTGTTCTTAATCACTAACTGATGAAGAATTCTGGTTCTGCTATTTGTCAAAGACTTTGCAAAGGATTTATGAAATTCTTTACATTCATTACTTTCACACGTTCCACATCTTCCCAACAACAAGCCCAAACCCGTTGCCTTAGTCGACTCTGATTCATGGGGACCCTGGAGGACAGGAGGAAGTGCTCCCTAGGGTTTCTAAGCCTGTCCATCTCTAGGGGAGCAGTTTGTCTCATCTTTCACCAACAGCAGCTGGTCGACTCCAACCTCCAACCTCTGTGTTAGCAACCCAGCACTTAACTCACTGTGCCACCAGGAGACACCCCCTTCCCAGCACATCCTCCCTCCCTCCCAGTTGCTCTAGCTGGTAGATGTGGTTTGAGGTTACCTTTCTCCAGTGACTAAAAGTGTTACGCCTCTTCTCATGTGTGAACCCATTTGTCCATCTCCATTGGCAAAATGCCAACTCAGACCTTTGGCCCATTTCTCCCAGACCGCAGGTTGTCGTTTTTTCCTTTTAAAAGGTGTGTCTTTTGCATAGCAAAGGTTCTACATTTAGTTGAAGTCCAGTATCTCACTTTCTTCTTTAGCTGGTGTTGTTGCTGTTAGGTGCCATAGAGTTGGTTCTGACCCATAGCAGCCCAATGCCCAACAGAACAAAACAATGCCCAGTCCTGTGCCACCCTCATAATTCTTCTTGGGCCCATGGTTGCAGCCAAGGTGTCAATCCCTGTCCTTGAGGGCCTTCCCTCCTTCCCTGTCCTCTACTTTACCGATATAATGCCCTTCTCCAAGGACTGGTCTTTCCTGACAACACGTCCAAAGAGTATAAAACGAAGTCTTGCCATCCTCATCCTACTTCTTCTAAGACAGATCAGTTTGTCCTTGTAGCAGTCCGTGGTACTTTCAATATTCTTCTCCAGCACAATTCAAATGCATTGATTTTTCTTTGGTCTTCCTTATTCAATGTTCAACTTTCACATGCATATGGAAAATAACATGGCTCACCTTAGTCCTCTTACAATACTCTGAAGAGGTCTTGTGTCTCTGCCCGATCACCACCGCACCACCATCATGAACACCAGCCATGTGCAGCCCATTAAGCTAGCTAGAGTCACCAAAGTGCTGGGCAGGACTGGCTCCCAGGGACAGCGCATGCAAGTGCACGTGGAGTTCACGGATGACACAAACTGCTCCATCATCCCAACATGCAAGGCCCCATGCAAGAGGGCAATGTGCTCTGTTGGAGTCCAAGGGAGAAGCCTGGAGGCTGGCCGAGGCTGCTGCCAGGTCTCAGGTGTCTGGTGGACCACTTGATCAACAGGGATGAGATGTGACTGTAAAATAAAGCCCTGACAGTGTCTGTAAATAAATGTATGTAAATAAATAAAGAGGTTGTGTGCAGCAGGTTTACCCAACACGTTTGAGCTCTTGACTGCTGCTTTCATGGCCATTAACTGTGGAGCCAAGCAAGACAAAAATTCATGACATCAACTTTTTTTTCCTTTCCACACGATGTTATCTATTGGTCCAGTTGTGAGAATTTCAGTCTTCTTGGGTTGTAATCATATTGAAGGCTGCAAGGATTGCCTTGATCTTCACCAACAAGTGTGTCAAGGCCTCCTTGCTTCCAGCAAGCAAGGTTGTATCATCAGCATATCACATTTTTAATAAGCCTTCCTTCAATCTTTGTTCCATTTTTCTTCTATAGATCACGTGTTTGGGGTCGTAACTAATGCAAGGAACGAGAATCAGTAATGCAAGTGAAGACAGTACTACTGACCTTACAGTAGTAAGGTGAAAATAACTAACCCAAAATGATACTTCTCTCCTAAACAGTTTATATTTTAACTCTTACATTTAGGTCTATGATTTAATTTTTGTGTGTGGTAAGGGTCTAAGCGAACCCTTTTGCATATAGCTATCCAATTTTCCCAGCATCATTTCTGGAAAAGACTATACTCTCCTCATTAAATTGCCTCGGTACCTTGGCTGAAAATCAACAACACATCTCTAGACTCTCAATTCTCTTCCATTGCTCTACATGCCCATCTTCATGCCACCCTTCCACTGGCTTGTGGCTTTTATGGAAAGCCCCATAGCAAGTTCAATTGGGGGAAAAAAAGAATAAAACATTATGAATAAATTTAATAACAAATAAAAATTCCTCGACAGGAATTTTTTAAAGATCTAAATAAATGGAGAGTGTCCCAGCTCGTGAATTAGAAGAGTCAATATTGTTAAAGTGACCAGTCTTCCCAAGTTTATCTGTGGACTCAATCCCTATCAAACCCCCACAGGCTCATTTTGTAGAAATTGACAAGCGGATTCTTAACTCTTCTGGAAACCAAAGGGCCAAATAGACAAAATTGTTTCACAAAAGATGAAAAACACTGGAGGGCCCACACTCCCCAGTATCTTTCTGATATTATAAATACGAAACTTTTCTTAATTTAATTTTCAGGGTGATTTTTTTAAAATCTTGGTTTCTTTCATTTTATTTTTTTAATCGTTTTATTAGGGGCTCGTACAACTCATATCACAATTCATACATACATCAATTGTGTAGAGCACATCTGTACATTCATTGCCCTCATCATTCTCAAAACATTTGTTCTCCACTTAAGCACCCCCGGCATCAGGTCCTCATTTTTCCCCTCCCTCCCCGCTCCCCTTCCTCATGAGCCCTTGATAATTTATAAATTGTTATTTTGTATATCCTGCCCTGTCCAACGTCTCCTCAGGGTGTTTCTTGCTGGTGATTTTTGTCTGCTGATTTTGTGCAATTCAGCTTTGCCGACTTTCTTGATCACCTTTAACGCCTGAAGGTCATGGTCTTATCTTCCCTTGCATTACTGATTTTAGTTCCTTGCATCTTCTCTGATTGGTGAAGAGTTGTCAATTGTGTTCTCTTTCCAAACAATCAATTCTTGGACTTGGGTATTCGATTCTTTTGTATTCTCTATTTCACTCCCTATTAAACTTTATGCCATTCTTCTGATTGCTATGGATTTAGTGTGCTTTTGCTTGCCTAGTTCTTTGACGTGGAAAGTTAGATTGCTGATTTGAGATCTTTCTTCTTTATCAGTGTAGGTATTTACAGCTCTAATTACCCCCCCACCCAAGATTTCCTTTTGCGGTTTGGTATGTTGTTTTCATTTTTATTCACCTTAAAGTATTTTCTAATTTTCTTTATGGCTTTATCTTTGACCCAATGGCTTTTTAAAGAATATGTAGCTTCAGTTACATGTATTTGTACATTGTTCTGTTTTCTTTCTGTTAGAGTTCAAGCTTCATTCCATTGTAGCTCTGCATGATTTCAACCTTTAAATTGATCAAGACTTGTTTTGTGGCCTAACACAGAGCACCTCTGTAAAAAGGGTGTGGGGCCAGGTGCGACCTGACTTCTCCAGGAGGTCCCAAACCAAGCTCACTGCCACCGAGTTGATGCCAACTCAGAGCGACCCTACAGGGCATGGTAGAGACTTCTGAAGAAACAACCTTTCCTTTTCTCTGTTTTCCATCTCACTGATTCCCATTCCTTTTATTTCCTTCTGTTTGCTTTGGGTTTAGTTTGCTCTAATTTTTTTACTTCATAAAGGCAGAAGCTTGGTTAATTAGCTTGTGATCTTTTCACATTGCGGCACAGTAGTTTTCCTCACAAACGGTCTTTCTAGCTGTGGATGTGGAGTTCTTCCACGAGGATTCCTAGGCACAGTCTTACAGTGGGACTGGGCACTTCACAGTGCAAATAAGCTACATGGAGCTCTTGTCAGAACTGGCTGATTACAATAAAAATTAGATGAGTGTGGCCTACCGAGGGCATTAGTCAGTTTTGTCATCCTGCCAGGCTTAAAAGGACCAATCCTTAAAAGGACCAATTAAAGGGAGGCCTCACTACCCTCAAAAAGCACCAGGAGTGGGTCACATCTTTTGGACCTAAGGTTCTCTGAGAACCTCTAAGATTAGAGAGGGAAAGAAT